TCTCCTCCTCCTCCTCCTCTTGATCTCCACCTCCTCCTCCTCCTTCTCCTCCTCCTCCTCCTCCCCCTCCTGGTCGTCGTCGATGTCTTTCAAGGTCGGCAACGCTGGCCGTCAGGCCTTCACAATCTGGGGAGGCATCACGGCCCCCGCCATGATGTCCCCCCTCCGCCTGGTCACGCCCCCCTCCTGGCGGCCATCGACCCACTCTCTCTCTCTCTCTCTCTTTTGTTCTCTCTCTCTCTCTCTCTCTCCTTTGTTTGTTGTTTTGTTGTTTCTCTCTCTCTCTCTATCTCTCTCCGAGATGAAGCGAACGAGACCAGGGAGGTGAAGCGATACGGGCGACGGCAAGGAGCGCAACGAGGGACGGCCGGGAGGCAATTCCCGGGAGGCCTTCGCAAGAAGAACGGAGCGACCACGAGTCTTACGCGAGATGGCACAGCGACCTTACGTGGCGGCTCACGCGGGCCGCCAGCGCGGCACGCTACGTGGGAGACGAGGGCGCTCACGCGCGACCCAACGCGGGCAGCCTACGCGCGAAGGTCGACACGGACGGCCTCGTTTTTCTTTGCGCCCAACAGTTGAAAACTACCCAGCCCGATAAACAAGGGCGCCCGACTTCGCGCGTTCGGCCCGCGCGAAACGCGAACGAGTTCGAGCCCTCGCGCCGCCCGGAAGGGGAGAAGAGGAGGACGAGGAGGAGTCGGAGCCGATCCGCGAAGCGCGAGTGACTTCGCCACCGTCGAAGGCGCCCTTGGACTCGGGAGCAGTCGGTCCGAACCTGCAGGGGTAGGCCTGGGCCTAGGCCAGGCACACCAGGACCGAGCGGCACGGAGCGGGATAGGGCGGGCATCAGCAGGACTCATCGGGACCTTGCTGGATTAGGGGGTTTTCGGCTGCGGATCTGCCAGCGCCGATGCCAGCTCCGATGCCATCCATCATCGGGGTGCAGCTCTTGAAGAGCTGCACCCCAATGATGCCAGGCGGCCGTCCCGCCCGCCAGCACCGCGCCTGCCTGAGACGGCGCTCCGCGCGCCGCTCGAAGCTCAATGCGGCCATCCCAGAGGGGTGTTCAATCGAACCCCACGTACGCAACACGGGCCAAACAACACTAGACTCTGAAGACTCGGAGCTGCTGCATGACAACCCTACTAGCAGGACCGAGCGGGGAGGATGAACCACACCAGGACACTAGGAGGAGAAGGGGGAGGAGGAGGAGGAGGAGGAGGAGGAGGAGGAGGAGGAGGAGGAGGAGGAGGAGGAGGAGGGTCCGAGGCTCGTCGCCGTCTCGTCGTTCTCCTCCCTCCCATCCAGGAGACACGCTCCCTGGAGGGGTCGTGCCCCCCCCCCCCTCTGCGTTCCTCCGAATTCACTTCGCTACCCATACGCTTTATTTGTTCCGCCCCCCCCCCCGCATCGGCGAAGGCCGCTGGGGGAACGGAGCTGGCAGAACTCGTGCAACGAACTCAGATGGCACCAGGTTCCGGGCTTCAGGAGGAAGAAGAGGAGGAGGAGGAGGAGAGGAAAGGTGAAGAATGGGAGGAAAGGCGGGGGGATTGTGGAGCCCCTCGGTGTTCCAGGGGAGATTTTACGAGCTTTCCGCCTTGGCTTCATCATGCTCCTTCTATTTCCTCTCTCGCTTTCTCACTTTGCCTGTTTATATCTCTCTCTCACGTACACATTATGTGTATCTCCTTCCTTAAGCATCACAAGCAAAGCTTTTTGGAAAGCAAAGCGAAGAGATCCGATGTCCTCGCATCAGGAATCCACTGGGAGTCCTTACCGAAGGATTATATGGGAAAGCCTCATAATCGGAGCTGGTTGGAAAGCATCATAAGAGGGTTCCGTGGACACCGCCACAACAAGATTTGATTGAGAACCGCACACGAAGAATCCGTTCGAAAACGCCACAAAAGGATTCGATTGGAAAGCCTCGCACTCGGAACTCTGTGCGAAGTGCTACACAGGGACTCCACTAAATGGCATCACAACAACCATCCTTTCCTGGAAAGCGCTACGAACACATTCTTCTGGACACAATCATACATGGAATCGGATGGAACGCTCCAGAAGGGACTCTCTGGGGAAAACTTTACAACGGGAATCCTGTGGGAAGGAATCTAAAAGACTGTACTGGAACGCTTCACAACAGAGATCCTGTGGACAGCCCAAAACAAGGTTGTATTGGAGCGCCCGCGACAAGAATCCTTCGGACATCGCCCCGCATGGTCTCTATGGCCTCGCAACAAGAATCCACTCGGAACTGTTACAAAACAAAAGATCATACTGGACAGCGTCGTAAACGAAACATTTTAGAACGCATTGCTGACGAAGCACCACGGGAGGAAACCCTTGGACGGCACCAAATTATTCGATTGGAAAGCCTCGAGCTTGGAACACTGTGCGAAGTGCGACACAGGAATTCTACTGTATGGCCTCACAACAGGGATCCTCTGGAAAGCGCTATCTAACAACACGCATTTTGTTAGAAACAATCATAATTGGAATCCTATGGAAGGCGCCTCAATCAGCTGGAACCCTTTGGAAAGGAATCGGGCAGGTTTCATCGGACGGCCTCGCAAGAGAGAACCTTTGAACAGCGCAACAGATGGGATTCTATCGGAGCGCCTCGCAGCAGGAGTCCTTTGGAAAACACCATACACGGATTGTACTGGAAAGCCTCACAAGGGGAATCCTTTGGGAAGCAGCACGGAGGGCTCCTACTGGAAAGCGTCACAAGAGGAATCATCTGGAAAACGCTGCGACGGGCTTCTGCAGGAAAGTACCACAAAGAAAATCCGTTCGAAAGCGCCAGACAGAGATTATAGTGAATTGGAAAGCGCCACTAAAGGGGCTCCTCTGGGAAAGCCGCACAAAAAGAAACCCATCGGAAAACACCACAGAGGGATTCCTTTGGAAACCCTCACACCGGAAAGCCTGCTTGAAAGCACCACTGAGAGCTCCTATTTGACAGCCGCACAAAAGCGAACCCATCGGAAAGCATCACAGAGGGATTCAATCGGGAAGCCTCATGTCAGGAATCCTTTGGATAACGCCGCAGAAGAATTCTATTGGAACACCTCACGGCAAGACTCCCCTGGAAAGTACCACACGGAGATTAGACTGGAAAGTCTCACAACAAGGATCCTCTGGAAAGCACCACGACGGGATTATACGGGAAATCCTCACAGTGATAATCCTTTGGATCGAGCCGCAAATGGCTTCGATTGGAAAGCGTCAGAACAGGAAGTCTTTGGAAAGCACCACAAGGAGATCCCACAAGGAAGCATCACAGAAGGAATGATTCGGAAAAATCGCAAAGAGATTCGACTAGGAAGCCTCACGATCGGAATCCATTGGGAAGCACCACGAAGAGGTTCGACTGGAAAGCCGCACAACAAAAATCAAAAAAATCGACGGCATACGATTGGAAATCCTCACAACAGGAATCCGGTGGAAAACGCCACAAAGGAGATTATAATGGAACGCCTCTACAGGATTGGAAATCCGCACAGTGGGACTTCAGTGGAAAGCACCATGAAGGATTTTTCTCCACTCCCCCCCCAGAAAAAAAACAACGGGCAAGCCCCCCCCCATCCAATTTGTGGGGGCCCACGCAACAAAATGCATGGGTTCTTTCGGGGAGGAGGAGGTGGGGGAGGAGAGGAGCAGGAAGAACACGCCAAAGAGCACGCAGGGATTGCGCAAAGCACGCAGAGCATTCACAGACGCACGCGCGCATGTTGAGACAAAGCCTCGCGCGCGCGCCTTCGACCCCGAGGGGCTCCACAGTCCATCGTTCTCGAGGACAGTGAGGACAGTGCCGAGAGCGTGCAGGTGAATCACGAACACGCCTCGAAAAGGAAAAGGGACGAGAGAGAGACCCTCATCCAACAAGGGGCACTCTCCGCGCCGTGCGCGGGGCCGGGGAGCAACGGTGCGAGGGTCACTAACGGCGCAACGCCGGGCAGTCCCCACTCGCACCGCGCCCCCCGTTGGGAAGACAAACCCACGCCTGTACTTCCGCCCACTATGCAGGTGCCTCGGGCTCGGGCGCCTGCTGCGGCATCGCAGGCTCCCCGAGCTCCGAGAAGACGAGCGGCTCGAGGGGCTCGCCCGTCTTGGGATGCAGGCCCCTTCGAGCCTGCTCGAGCATCGACGCGATAGCTCCGTCCCCCCCACTCCCAGCTCCCGCCGACCCCGTCCCAGCCCTCTTGCACGCACGAGACAGGCCGACCGACAGCCGATTGGGGCGCACAGCGTGCGCCCCGCACTTTACACAGATCAAAACTCGATCCAAGGCCTGGACCTGGTGTCCTGGCCCGACCTCCTGGGGGTCGCATGCACGGGAGGCCAGAGACTTCAACGACGAAGCCGTCGCTGCAAGCCTCCAGCAGGCTCGACATCGAATCGCTCCCCCAGCGAAGACCACAAAGTCGTGATCGGTCGGCCGCCGCGGACGGCGGGGCCGAAAGACAGCCTTCGGAGGCGCACGGAGTATCGGGGTGGAGAGGCGGGCCACGCGCTCGGCAGCCCAGGCCAGACAACGCATCGTGTCCTGGGCCCGAAGCAGAGAAAATTTGTGAGCCTTGACCACGGAGGTGGATCCAAGGAAATCTGCCGCAGCCACGCGGGCGAAAACATCAGCCCACATATTACCGAAAAAATGCTCCAGGGGCTCCTGGGAAGCCAGGCAGGCATCAAACCCCTCGATGACGGTCCGATGGGCCTTCGTCCAAACAAACACGGGCCTGACAGGGTCGCCTCTATACAGCTCGTGGATGCTCCGCCAGATGGACGCGTGAGGCGCTCTGGCAGAAGCATGACGACCCTCCCAGGCCATTCCCTCGACCTGCAGCTGTAAATGATCAGTCACGTACGTGGCTGGCCTCTGGGCCCTCTGCAGGGCCTTGAGACCAGCAACGCGCTCGGCCCTGGGCACCGTCTGGATAGGGCCCCCCAGGCTCCCGAACAAAGCTTTGTATGGCCACAGGTCTCGGGTCAGTGCCACGACGGCCCAGCCACAGCGCCGTTCCTCAGGGAAATCACTTTCAAGACAGGACCCGTCCCCGTACAACTTCGACGGCCACGGCATGTCGATCGCCCCCCACTCGCGCTCAGCCTGAGCACGTGCAGGCAGCGGCCTGAAAACAGGCCTCAGGGGCAGCGCGTAGAGCACGTCGATGGCCGAGAAGTCCTGCACCTGGCCCCCGTCGCGCCACGGGGCTGCCTCCAGGATGTCCTTCCTCCTCTTGGCCACCTCCTCGGGGTACGGCTCCGTCTCCTCGTCCTCCTGCTGCTGATGCAATACCTTGCAGCCGAAGATCTCATGCTCGAGGTCGCAGCAGGCCTCCCCGCAGAACTCGCACGAACCGTCGCCGCCGTAGCCAGCCTGCATGCGGCGCTGCGGCGACCAGAACCCGTTGGACTGCAGCTTGGCCAGAGCCCCTCTGTGGCCAGGCGCCAAGGAGGCGTGTCCCAGTCGAAGCGCACGAAGCCACACATGCTGCTGCCGCCTGCCGTCACCATCGGCTGGGGGCGCCTCAGGCAGCTGGTCGAGGATACGATGGCTCTGCCAACGGTCGAGGCTGCGACGCAGGAAAAACAGCACCTCACTGGGACAATACTGCAGCAAACTGATATGCAGGCCCTCATCGTCAACCAAGATTGTAGAACTTGCCATGTTCCAGTTGACTCTCCTGAGGGACAACCACAGGCCGACAGCGGGCCCTGCGCACTGGCCCACGTGACGTGAGTGTGGCGGGCTTCCCAGGAGTCACGCAAGCCCATCCAGGCCCGCTGCAGTCGGGAGAGCGTCACCCGCCCATCCCACACCCCCGCCGCGTACTGCCCCACGATGCTGAAGGTAGCGTGGAATATGGGGTCGAAGCTCCACTGCTGCGCGGCCAGGTACAGCGTCAGGGAGCCCGACCCCTTGTAGCCACAGAAGACGCCAGCCATGGTCCTCATCTGCTGCAGCTCCGTGTCGCTGATGCCGCTGACCGTGGCTCCGTGCCCCACGGATGGCAGCACACCCGTGGCCCAGAGCCGAGCCGCCCGCTGTCGTCCTGCTCCCTTCTGCAGTGCTCGAACGCTGGCCTTCTTGCCGTGCATGGCCTTCAGGCGTCCCTTCTGCACGGCCCTTGTGGCCGACGACCCAGCTAGGTCGTGGCCAAGATACCGCATGTGCCTCTTGCCAGCGATCTTCAGCAGCCTAGCGTACTTCTGAAAGTGGTAGCTGGTGCGCCTGGACGTCGTAAGGTGCCCAGACTTATCCATCTGCAGCACCAGCCCGAGGGGCCAGACAGCCCTGCAGAACGCACGAGTGGCAATGGCCATTTCTCGCACCCCGCTCGGGTCGTTGCCGACCCAGCACAGCGCGACGTCGTCCACCAAGTCCTTGGGCTGAACCTGAGGAGCGACCGACATCGTCTGGCGAATGCTGCGAGTCAACAACACCATGAGAAGCGTAGTGGCGTGGGTGCAGCCTGCCAGGATGCCCTGATACGCCCTGCGCGCCACTGAATACGAAGAATACGAGTACACCGAACGCAGCTGCTGGTACATCTGCACGAGCATGAACGCCATTCGCATAGGGTATCCATTGGCCCTGCACTCCAACAAAATGGCATCATGCCTGACCAGCTCGTAGCATTTGAGCATGTCCAGCAGCACAATGATGGCGTCGTCATCGCACAGGGTCGCCATCTCCTTGGTGAGCGCCAAATCAAAGGCCGCATCACTCGACGACTTGCCTCCAGTGTGGCCCCAGACCTCTGGGAGCGCATGGGCCTTCTCCCACGCTGCCGAGACAGGCCGCCTCGCCCGTCCCCAGATCCTGACCAGCGTGTTCATCAGCACAATCAGGCGCTCCCCACCCCCTGGCTTGGGGAGTCTCACGAGCTTCGAGAGGAATCTGCCGTCTGGCCACAGCAGGAGGTGCTCGCACCGCTCGAAGAGGCGCGCCATGGCCGTCAGCGCCCCGTGGGAGAGGTGCTCCATGGCCCTGGGCGCGATGTTGATCTGCCCGACGCCTGTCTGCCAAGAGAAACAACGGATTGCCTTGAGTACGTCGGCCGCCTCAAGCCTTGGCAGCTGCTCCCAAGTGTCAGCATCAACAGGTCGGCGAGCCAGCTCACCGCCATGCCGCACCCAGAAGCTTTCCCAGTATTCAAGCTTACGATCAGCCAGTACGTACCCATGTTGTAGCCCATTGCCTCCGTCCACGATCTCCTGGAGAGCCTTGGGCTTCATGAATCGGTGAGCTCCCTTGGCTCCAGCCACAAAAGCTGCCTGCGCCCACTGCCTCCAGCTCTGCATCACGGCCTTCTCATGCTTGGCCTCAGCATCGGAGGAGATACTCAGGATGCGGTCGACCTGCTGCTCGAAGTCTGCCTGCGCTAAGGCAAGTATGCCACGCGAGAAGAAGCCGACGGCCTCGGCGTCCAGGTGCGGCCAGACTCCCTTCCTCCGCCAGATTCTCTGGAAGAAATTCACGCACTCCAGCAGGTGGCGCGCCGCCTTGGAGTGCACGGCGTCCCACGAAAGGTCCTCGCCTGCACGTCGCGGGGGCTGGTGTCGCTGAGCTCTCGACCGAGGCCGACCACCATCGGAGGAGAGACCAGCCACTCCGACGACCTCCGCAGCAGGGGGTGCCCCATCGCCCAGGCCAGGCACTCCGTCGACGTGCGCCTCGCCGACGCTGCCGAGCTCGAAGACCTGCTGCGGGCGAAGCTGGAGCACGAAGCTCTGCAAGGCCACTCGAACCCTCCTGAGGTGACGAGCCCAGCGCGCAGCCTGCGCCCAGGCCTGGGTGTCCGCCGACCTCCTGCTCCAGGCACCTTTCACGACAGGGTGAAAACTCGCCAGCTCGAAGGTCGGGGGGCCTGGCACCGTGGAGTACCCCGCCACGTCCTTCACGACGTCGTAGCGGCCCCGCAGCTCGAACTCGATGCCGCTGAGCACGACGTCCCAGGCCCTGGTGATGCCCTCGCTGTCCGACGCGCTCTGGATGATCGCCAAGGCGGGTCCCAGTCGGGGGGGAACCTCGCGCACCCCGCCGCAGGCGGCCTCCGAAAGCCGCGTGGCTCGACAAGCCTCCTGACCTTCGCGTCAAAAGCCGTGGCGGAGAGCTCCATGGTCACTGGTAGATGCGGCCACGTCTCCGCGTCGACGACCACTGGTTGCCGAACGCGAGGCAGCAAACGGCAAGAAACCATGAACATGTCAATGGTGCGGCCAGGAAGGCTCTGAAGACAAGTCGGCTCTCTCGGCGCCAGCACCACGCCATTGGCCGACTGGAGCCAGGACAACGGGCCGAGCTCGCCTACCTCCATGTTGAAGTCGCCTCCTACGATCCACGGAACGCCCATGGCCTCCAGCGACCTGACATACTGGTACAGCTTGTACAGCATGGCCAGGTTCTCGGGCGACAGCTTGACGTCCACAATGAAATAGCACGACAGCATGACGAAGCCGCCCTTCACCCCAGCGTGGACATGGGCCGCCATCATCCTGCCTTCCTGCAGCACGTGACTGTCCAGGCCTGGGGGTTTGGTGATGACCACCCGCAGCGGGGCCAGCACCGCAACCCCGCCTCTGCTGCCAACTCCCTGCCCAGGTAGGGCGGGCTCCCATATACCATGGTACCCAGCAGCTCTTACTTTATTCTGCAACTTCGCCAAAGCATCGCCCTCGGCCTTGGCATGATGTTCCTGCACCGCGATGCATAAACTCGAGCACGTGGGCAGGAAATCGACGAGCGGGCCGCCCGAGGACACGTTCACGGTGGTGATACTTGAAACCGAAGCCATGGTGCGACAAAGGAGGACGAACCACACAAGACACGCAAAACATCGCCGTGGAGCCATGCTAGGCAGGGGTAAGCCTGGGCCTCTTGACCTTGGCACCCCAACGCATGAAGATCTCCTCCAGCCTGTGCTTCTCGCCCCCAGCCGCAACGACTTCCTCCATGAACTCAGGGTCGTCGGAGAAGGCAGATGGCTGTGGTGTGCGAGGCGCTGCCGCGTCGTCCTGCCGCTCGGCCTGCTCGACGTCGGGACCAGCCTCGGCCCCAGCATCAGCCTGCGCCCTCTGGGCAGCCAACTTTGCCGCCTCCTCCTCCTGCAACCTCTGCAGCTCCTGGAAGCTCGCCGTGAGGCTGCCCGACAGCTGGTGATCGGCGCCCAGGCTCTGGAGCAAGATCCCGAGGCCCTCGAGCGTGGCACCAACCCCCTTGATCGGCTCGTCGAGCGACGCCTTGTCGCCAGGCGTCGGAACCTGCCCTTGAAGCCTCTTGCGCTCCTGGTCCAGCTCCTCCATGCTAGCGTCGAGGGCCGCCAGCTTGTCCCGAGTGAGCCGTTCCTTCTCCTGCAGGTCGCGCAACTGCGCCTGCAGCCCATCGAGCTTGGTCTGCTGGTCGTCGCGCAGCTTCTGCAGCCTGGTGAACTGAGCTCCCATCTCGCGCAAGCGCTGTCCGAGCGGTCGGGACTCCGCCACCTTAGCACGCAGCTCGGCCTGCTCGGCCAGCAGCTTGTCGCGCGTGGCCACGACCGACGGCTCGGTGATGCCCTTGAGCTTGCCGATGAGGTCGCCGACCTCGCGTAGCCTGTCCTTGGCGACGGACTCGGGGCCGTCTCCGTCCGCGGCCGGCTCCATCTGCACGTCCTCCCCGCCAGGCGGCGGCCTCTGCACAGCGGCAAGCCGCTTGCGGGCCTCGGCGAGCTCGGACTTGAGCTTGGCCACCTTGACGGAGTCGTCCCAGTAGCCGTTGCCGCTGCCGCCCTGATTGCCCTTCTTCCGCTGGGAGGGGGCCGAGGGCTGGCGCACGCTGTGGAAGACCAGTCCCTTGCCCAGCTTGCACTTCGCACACTGCCGCGCCTCTGCATGATTCCACCACGGTCTCCCCGAGGGCCCGCAGCAGCTCTTGCAGTACCAAGGAAGCGCCTGCTCCGAACGGTAATGCGGCGGTGGCATCTCCACGACACCAGGCAGCAGCACACACGGTGGGCCGTGGCAGCGCGATCTGGAAAGGACTGGGTGTGGGCGCCCAACTCCCACGGTGAAGGCGAGCGGTGGTCTGGCCGCGGACTAGCGGTATCCGTGCGGTCCCCAGGGGAACCAATCGTTCTCGAGAGGGAGGGGGAGGAGGAGGAGGAGGAGGAGGAGGGGAGGAGGAGGAGGAGGAGGAGGAGGAGGAGGAGCGGAGGAGGAGAGGACCAGGAGGAAGGGAAGGAGGAGGAGGAGGAGGAGGAGGAGGAGGAGGAGGAGGACCCAGGAGGATCCAAGAGGAGGAGGAGGAGGAGGAAGGGGAGGAGGAAGAGGAGGAAGAGGAGGAAGAGGAGGAAACACCCACATCGCCGAGCCCAGCCGACCCGACCCTGGGCCCAGGATTGGCACCTGCGCCTCCACGCCCGGGCCACGACGGCGACAGCGTCCCCGACGCCGGGCCCAGGATGGGCCCAGCCAGGAGCGGTCGCCCGGGGGAGGGTACGCAGAAGGCGTCTGTACACCACCACCGTGCCAGGCCAGGGCCATCCTGGCGCTGGCATGGTGTATACGCCCTCCTGGCCGAAGCCAGGAGGGTCTATACACCATCCTGGGGCCCAGGATGGCCCTGGCCTGGCACGGTGGTGGTGTACAGACGCCTTCGTCGGAGGGGAGAGGCGGAGGAAAGGGAGAAGGCGCAGGAGAAACAACACAGCAGTGGCGCTGGGACCGCGGTGGCGAGGCGAGCCACGAGGAGCCGGGAGAGAGAGAGAGAGAGAGAAAAAAAAAAAAAATGCAGCGGGCACACGCTGGATTGGCCGCCACGCGGTGCAAGGTGCCTCGCCGTGCGCGCTGCCAAACGGGACCCTTTCGCCTCGAGGAGCGGCCTCGTGAGAGGCGGTTGGCCCATGGGCCTGCCATTCAGGCCAGGGCCCCGTTTAGAGAAGCTTCCACACTCTTAGATCACATACACATCTATATACGTATATATATATATATATATACACACAAAGAATGCAGGGCCATATGAGGTGAAGTACGTGTTTAACGAGAGCCACGCTTTGAAAAGGAACCGATCTCCGTCAGAGGAAGTGCTGCGCAAATAAAACAAAAACGAGTGTGCACCGCGCTGGGGCGGGAGCACCGCGTTGAAAACGGGCCGCCGTGGAAAAGCGTTGCAGGGGCGCCAGCCAGAAACTCGCGCAGGGAGTGCACTGTCCTTCCCCCAACACTGCTTGCACTCCTTCTCATTCTCCTCCTCCTCCTCCTCCTCCTCCTCCTCCTCCTCGTCCTCCTCCTCCTTCTCAGTCATTCCCGTTGTCAAGCTGGACCTGTTCCTCCTCCCCCTCCCCGGGAGCCGTTCTGGCCACCTCGTCGCCGCCCGCCGCCGCCCGTCGCCGCGGGGCCCCGGTGGCGGCCCGGCCGGCCCGCCGCCGCCCGTTGCTTTGCGCGGCTTTGCGCTGCTTTGCACTGCTCTGCGCTGCCTTGCACTGCTCTGCACTGCTCTGCAGTGCTCTGCACTGCAGTGCGTCGCCGTGCGTCCCATTGCATCGCCTTGCACTGCCTCGCGTTGCATTTGAACTGCATCGCGTGGATTTCTCTATTGCTCTGCACCCGCTCTGGCTTGCTTTGCGCTGTCTTGCACTGCGCTGCGTCGACTTGCACTGCTTTGCATTGCAGCGCGTTGCATTGCTTTTGCATCGCTTTGCGCCACATGCGTTGAGCCACATGGAATTCACCATTGCATGCACTACGTGGACTGTGCGACCCAGATTGCACCGCACACACTGCACGACGACGCTGCTTGGGGCCCACGCCGGCTTGCATGAAAAATGTTCCTCCCTCGGCCCGACTCCTGTGGCCCCCCGTGCTGCTCCTCCTCCTCCGCGCTCCTCGCTCCCCGCACCCCTCCTCCCCCCCACTCCGCCTCCCGACCACGCTCCCTCTCCTCGGACCTCCGGCAGCGGTGTTTCCTCTCCTCCCCATCCCCCTCCCCCTCCCCCTCTCCTCCTCCTTCCTCCCTCTCCTCCTCCTCCTCCTCCTCCTCTCCGGTTCGGTACTTCTCTCCCTCCCGTCTGCCCCCGCCCCCCGCCCCCCCCCCCCCCCCCCGTGCGTGGGAGGGGATCTATCCATATAACCCTCGCCCCAGAACAACGATCGACCTCGGGGGCCTGAGCAAGCGGCGGACATGGAAGCAGGTGTGCGCCCCCCCCCCACCGTGACCTTCCAGAGAGCTATTCTTAGCACGGGAAGCATAAAAACCTAACAAACTAAACGAAACAGCCTAAAACCAGGACGTAGAATAGCTCTGGGATAGGTTCTTCAATCGGGTGTCATTTTTTTGAGCCCTCCTGGAAGACCAGGGCATGCGGGGCCCGACTCTGTCCACGTCCACCCGCCGGACGAGAGATCCCCGGAGACGGCTCCCCAGGGCGGGGGTCACGAGCAGCTCCCCGCCTCGCACCCCCGTGCCCCCCCCCCTTCGGGGGGGGGGGGCGCGGAGGGGACCTCCCCCGACCTTCCAGGAGGGCAAAAAAATGGCCCCCCGACCTAGAAACCTGTCCCAGAGCTATTCTACGTCCTGGTTTGAGGCTGTTCCGTCTCGTGTTTTAGGTTTTTAGGCCTCCCGTGCTGAAAACTAGATCTCTGGAAGGTCAGGGTCCTGGGGTCGGCGACGCCTCGCCGACGGGCTGGGCGAGCGGCCCCCGACGGAGCACCCGCACTCTCCTGGCGCGGGGGTGGGCTGTCGGGCAGGCCTCGGCGACGACGGGGCGCTCGGGGGGCGAGGGTTGCCCCCCCCCCCCCCCCCCCCCCCCCACCCCCCCGGAGCCGACCCACCCCTAGCGTTGTCGGCGGCGACGACCCTGACCTTCCAGAGAGCTATGTTTTAGCCCGGGAGGCCTGACCTAAACAACGAAACGAAACAGCCTAAAGCCAAGACGTAGAATAGCTCTGGGATTGGCTTTTAAGTCGGGTGCCATGTTTTAGCCCTCCTGGAAGCTCAGGGGAGGGGGGCGAATATAGCCCGGGGGCGGGCATCACGCGCACTCGCCCGGGAGCCGTTTTCGAAGGCATAGATCATATCGGCGCACTGGAATCGGGGAGGCGTAAGACTCGGGTAAGGGGGACTCGGGTTGTCCTGACGGGGCCATCATAAAAATGACGAGACCCAACCTGAAATTTGACGCGATCTCCCGCTGCAGACATCCCACGAAAACTGGACCGTCAGAATCCAGGACGCGCTCGTCAAAAAACGTCGACAAACCAGAGTTCCAGCTTACTCGAGTCCTACGTTTCCCCGACTGAATACATGTATTGTATTACTCTCCCCTGGGCTATTCCAAATCCCTTATTAATCGTCCCCCGGGTCCGGTTTTTTAAGGCGCCTTTTTGGTCATTAAGGGGGTCCGGTTTATTAGGTCGCTTTCTTTGGATTGGAGCTGAGGGGGTCTGGTTTATTAAGGCGCCCCATCGAAGAGGGGGTCCGGAATATTAGGTCGCATTTGGAGGGGGGTCCGGTTTTTTAGGGGGGGGTCGATGAATAAGGGATTTGGAGTACTCGCCCCTATCGTCGCCTCTGAAGTTGCCCCTTGGCTTTCGGGCCACCGCTCGGCTCTCCGGCGGCGTCCCTGGGCGACCTTGGGCACCCCGGGGCGCCTCTCGGCGAGGCGCAGCTCCGGCGAGTCGGGCGCGACGAGAGCATGTCCAGCAGCCTCGAATGAAGGGGCCCTGGGACACACAAATAAATACACACACAAATAAAAAGATTGCCCATATTTTCCTATATTTTCTGGGTTTCTGTCTTCCCCCCCACTTCCCATATTTTCGCATATTTTCTGGGATTCGACGAATAATTGTGTCTGTGTGTTTTTTCTCCTCCTGATCGAAGCCCGAAGCCCGAACCACCATCCCGCCCTGAATATGTCCACCCTGCTACAGAATCCCTACGGGCGTGTCGACTGTTTGCCAGTCGACTTCTGGGGATCGAGCCAGACAAGTCCAGGCAAATGCAGCTACCGTACATCGACAACATGCTGCACCACGTTTGCTGTGCATTGGCACCTGTACTGCATTGCTCTTGCCCCCCCCTTCCCCCCGATCTTAATATCGGCTGCATGGCGAAGAGCCCCTGTTCCGCCCAGGGGCTCCCGACAAAATGTTGCACCACCGAGCTGTTTCGACCAGCCCAGACCGAACCCAATATTAAGATCGGGGGGGGGAGGAGAATGAGGAGGAGGAGGAGGAGGAGAAGGAGGAGGAGGAGGAGCATGAGGAGGAGGAGGAGGAGGAGGAGGAGGAGGAGGAGGAGGAGGAGGGGAGGAGGAGGAGGAGGGGGGGGAGGAGCAGGAGGAGGCGGAGGAGGAGGAGAGGAGGAGGAGGAGAGAGGAGGAGGAGGAGGAGGAGGAGGGAGGAGGAGGAGGAGGAGGAGGGGGAAAAAAAACGATTGATATAACAGCGATGCGATTTATTGTCAGCGCCAGGTGGTGCAACATTTGGTCGATGTACCGTACTTCGAGGTCAATCCACGGGCACTCCACGTGCGCACGGCAGCGCGTACCGAATGGACCCCAGCGGGGTAGCTAGTCGACGCCCCGAAACAACCGATTCTCGCCATCGCTCGGACGTCCATTCCCTGTGTTTTTTGTTGGTTTCGTGCGTGTTTTTTTTCGGCAAATGGTCAAGGATGCTCCTCGATGGTCCTCGCCCAGGAAAAAACGCACACGTCCGAGCGATGCCAGGCATTCTATCAGGCGAAACGCGTGTCGGTTAGCGAAACCGACTGGGGACTGCACCAACACGCTCGAATGCCAGTGTCGAGTGAACCGGCGCATATATCATCAGTGGACGTGTCTGGGGTGGGGGGCGTTTGTCATTGCCCGAATGGACCTGCCGATGCCCGTGCCCACCATACGGAGCAACAAATTGCATAAACGATATTTCTCGGAGGTCCGCGCGAATCGCTTGGGTCGGCGCTGGACCCACCTTCCTGGCGCGCGCAGCGCGCCAGGGACGGTTCCGGAGGCGCCGCCAGGGGGTTCCAGCGCCGATCCGAAGAATCAGCGCGAAACTCCGACAAGTTATGTTTGCGCCGTTTGCTCCCCGACATCACTTGGAGGTTTGGCAATGGACCCCAACACCACGACATAGTTCGGCGTGGATGCCAGAAGTGCGGCCACCCAGGGAGCCAAATAATCACCACCATCACCCACTTCGGGATCATCTCCCCTCCCCTGACCTTCCAGGAGGGCTAAGAAATAGCACGCGACCGAAAAACCTATCCCAGAGCTATTCTATGTCTTGGCTTTAGGCTGTTTCTCTGAGTTTTTGAAGCTTTTAGGCCTCCCGTGCTGAAAAATAGCTCTCTGGAATGTCAGGGTCGGTGGATCGGGTCGGGCGAAAGGGGGGGATAGCAAAGGGGGGGGTTGAGAATCAGCTCACGTAGCTGACTTTCCCGGCGCCTCCCGGCGCCGGAGGCGGCCATGTATCGAGGAATGGCCCCCTCGGTGAGGCCGAAACCAGCTGCATGCAGCAGATTTCGTACCCCCCCCTTTCGCCCGGCCCGAGTGGAGGCAAACCACCGACATGGTGTTGGTGCCAACCTCTGGACCTCCGGCCTCCCGCGCTCGTCCTTTCTGGTGCCGCGGGGGCGCGTGCTCCCACGTCGGCACGCTGGCGCACAGGCGCCTGCCAGCCTTCCTCTTTCTTGGACGCCCGAAAGAAAAGGGGGAAGGAGGAGGAGGAGGAAGAGGAGGAGGAGGAGGAGGAGGAGGAGGAGGAGGAGAAGGAAGAGGAGGGGGAGGGGGAGGAGGAGGAGGAGGAGGAGGAGGAAGAGGAGGAAGAGGAGGAAATAGGTACGGAAAGAATGGGTACAATGCCCAACAGCAAATGTTGTCCCAGACCAGCAGCGGCCGCTGTTGGGCAGGCGGCCTTCTGTCTCGAATGGACACAGGCCGCGGCGGCGTGGACAGCGAGTCCTGTTCAAAATGAGCACGATCCGCTGTTGGGCATTGTACCCGTTCTTTCCGTGCCCATTTCGTTCGTGCAGATCCTTTCCAGTGCCGTGCTCGTCGGCTGCTCGGCCCGGCCGGAGGCGGAGAGGACTTCGAAGCTAGTCCGCAGCAGAGCAGCGCAGCGGCAACAAGACAGCCAGGCCTTCGCCGCAACCGCCTCCCCCGCCACGGGCGCGCGCGGGGGCGGGGAGGGGGGCCTGCACGGGTTTCCCCGGGGCCGTAGGCGACCCGAGGAGGAGGAGGAGGAGGAGGAGGAGGAGGAGGAGAGGAGGAGGAGGAGGAGGAGGAGGAGGAGGAGGAGGCCGAGGAGAGAGGCAGAGAGGAGGAGGAGGAGGAGGAGGAGGGAGGAGGAGGAGGGGGAGGAGGAGGGGAGGAGGAGAGGAGAAGGAGGAGGAGGAGGTGGAGAGTTGAGGAGGAGGAGGAGGAGGAGGAGGAGGAGGAGGAGGAGGGAGGAGGAGGAGGAGGAGGAGGAAGAAAGGACGGAGATGAGGAGGAAAAAACACCGAGGAGGAGGAGGAGGAGGAGGAGGAGGAGGAGGAGGAGGAGGAAGAGGTAGCGGAGGACGGGTCGCCTAAGCCCTTCGGAGAAACCCTCCAGGGGCGCGGGCTTGCCTGCCGCTCCTCCGCCTGCCGCCGCCGGACGAGCTCGCAGCGCCGCGCGCACGCGTGCGCGAGCCGGGCGCAGTCCTCTGCGGGCCGAGGCCTGCCACCGCCCAGGCGCCCATGCCCCCCGTGCATGCCATCTGGTCTCGCGCGTGCTTGCTTGGCGGCATGGTCCTCCTCCCCCTCCTCCTCCTCCCCTCCTCCTCCTCCTCCTCCTCCTCCTCCTCCTCTCTTCTCTCTCCTCCCTTCTCCTCCGATGCCGAGAGGAGGGATGGGGGGGGCTTGGGGATCTGCTGACCCGGGTCAGTGCAGACCCGGGTCAGTCGGGCCTTGCAGGATCCTGCAAGGTCCTGCAGGACCCTGCACCCAGGCCCGGGTCAATGCGAAGGGTCCTGCAAGATCCTGCAGGATCCTGCACCCAGCCCCGGATCAATACGACCCTGGCCCTGCAAGATCCTGCAAAGTCTGGCGCTCTGGCTGACCCCCGTTTGCATTGACCCCCGTCTCTTGAGCCCCGAATGCCGTCGGGACGGGGCGGGCCGGAGGGGGAAAGCGGAGCGGAGCGGAGCGAACGCCGGCGTCGAGCGCGCTGCTTGGGCGGCCAAGAAAAGCCGCAGGACGCGGCAAAACTGCCCCAAGATGCCCCCAAGACGTTCCTCGAAGGCCCCGAATCGCCGAAGTATCGCCAAAGTAGACTCCACACGGCTCAAAAGGCTTCCAAAACGCCCCAAGAAGCCTCCAAGAGGACTTCCAACAGGGTCCTAAGGTGCAAAAATCATCGATTCCCCGAAAATGTTGAAACGCTTCAGCGTTCTCGCCTTGTCAGCGTCCCGATGCTCTAAGACAGGCCAAGAACCCCCCAAAACCGCCCCAAGATGGCCCAAGAAGCCTCCAAGAGAGCCCCAAAACGACCCAAGAGGGCCCCAAGACAGACCAAGAGGCTTCCAAGACAGCCGAAGAGGCCACCAAGACGGCTCCAAGGATGAGCCCAGACGGGGGACCCGAACGGGCATTTCGAGCCCTCGGCCTGAGAAGCTCTCAGGAGGCACCAAAGGTCCCTGAGAAACCCCCCAAGAAACCCCCAAGAGACCCCCAGGAAGCCCCAAGAGGCCCTTAAGAGGCTTCCACGCGGCCCCCAAGAGCTTCCCAAGAGGCCCCCAAACTACCCCCAAGAGGCCCCCGAAAACGCTCGTCGTCGTCGTCGTCGTCGCCATTCCGGGTCGGCGGCGCCGGCCGCAAGGCCTTCGCAATACTCAGAAAATGCAAAGAAAAACAATTACTCACTGCGTGGAGCTCCCCATATGTGCATCTCATGTTTTATGTCATGCCGTGGTGAGCGTCTGTTCATGAGCGGTCGACTACAATAGCGCGTCCACGTGGGCGACAGGGCCGACGAAGACGAGTGACCCCTAATGCGAGTGATTGCGTATGAGTCAGAGTGAGCTTTGAGTATGGTTGAATGCGAGCCTCTTCCTCTTCATCCCCCCTCCTCAGCTGCCAGGCCTTCCCCTTTTCAGCCCGTGGTAGCTTTGGAGCTTCCCACATGTGCATATGTTGTAGGATAGTTGGCAGTGGGATATGTAAGACGAGCGTTTAGCCACACAAGGCCATAAGTGCATGTCATGTTGGAGGATAGTGCCACGGTGAGCATTTCCAACGATCCCCGCACACAACCACAGCCCCCCCCCTCGCAGTCACCCCCTATGAATATATATATATATACACATATATGTCCTGGACTTCGGAACAAACGTTCTGCTCGCGTCAAGGACCTTCGAGCAAAGCGCCCTCCTCCTCCTCCTCCTCCTGTTCCTCCGCCCCCTCCCTTCTCCTGCTCCTGCTCCTCCTCCTCATCCTCCTGCTCCCCCTCCCCCTCCGCACCCCCATGCCCTTCCTCACGATCCCCCGCCTCCTCCTCCTCCTCCTGTTCCTCCTCCTCATCCTCGTTCCTGTCATTTCCCTCCCTGTTGAGCCCAGAAACAGGCGAACCGCCTGAGACATCCCCACAATATGGCCGCGAACGTGCCCGTGCAACCACCCCTGGCGGCTCCCCATAGGGGTGCTGCAACCAGCGCCCCGCTTGAGACATCGTCACAATCTGCTCTCCAAGCGAAGGATGTTGAGCCCAGAAACAAGCAAACCGCCTGAGACATCCCCACAAAATGGCCGCGAACGAGCCCGTGCAACCACCCCTGGCGGCTCCCCTTAGGGGTGCTGAAACAGCGCCCCGCCTGAGACATCCTCACAATCTGCTCTCCAAGCGAAGGATGTTGGGCCCAGAAACAAGCAAACCGCCTGAGACATCCCCACAAAATGGCCGCGAACGAGCCCGTGCAACCACCCCTGGCGGCTCCCCTTAGGGGTGCTGAAACCAGCGCCCCGCCTGAGACATCCTCACAATCTGCTCTCCAAGCGAAGGATGTTGGGCCCAGGAAACAAGCAAACCGCCTGAGACATCCCCACAAAATGGCCGCGAACGAGCCCGTGCAAACACCCCTGGCGGCTCCCCTTAGGGGTGCTGAAACCAGCGCCCCGCTTGAGACATCCTCCAAATCTGATGTGTGTTGAGTAAGTCTGAGTATGAGTAGGTCTGAGTATGAGTATGCCTGAGTATGAGTAAGTCTGTGTATGAGTAAGTCTGTACACACAAATAAATACACACAAATGAACATATCCCCCATATTTTCCCATATTTTCCGGGTTTTTGTCTTCCCCCCCACTTCCCATATTTTCCCATATTTTCTGGGAATCGCCGATTAATTGTGTCTGTGGGTTTTTTTTCCTCCTGAAGCTTGGCCGAGTCCGGCGGCGAGCCAGGAGGCGCGGGCGTCTTCGGCATGGCGGGCGCCGCCGTCGCGACTGGCGCCCCACTGTGGGCCAGCGTGGCGACGGTCCTGGGCTGCCAGCCGGGCGCGGCTCGAATCGAAAAGTAATCAGCTTTCCACTCGGGCCTGTCGATCCGCCCGTGCGCCTTCCACGCCTCGGGGTCGCTCGGGTCCAGCCAATTCGGGCTTGTTGGTGCTGGTCGGTGCGTTGTCGGTATTTTGCTGCATCGCGCTGTTATCGCATGTGTTCACCCTCCCTGCCTTTCCCCGCGATTGTTCTCACATGGTAGTGGCAGCGACTGTGGTGGTCTTTCGAAAACCATCTCACCGCGGCGAGCTGCTGGACAACGTGGTCGATCGCGTCGAACTGGCGCTAGATGACCTCGATGCTCTCGAGCCTCTCCATTTCCTCGCGCGAAGCACTTACACTCGGGGCGTTGACCTAAGGAACCCGAAATAAGGAACGAGGCCCCTTGTTTGCCATACGTTAAACCTCGGCTTACCATTGAAAACCTGGGGAAAACCCAAGGCAAACTGTAAAACAATCAAGGAGCACCGAGCCCCTTACCATCGAACAGGGTTCCTTCTTCAGCGCCCCGACTGTACCTCCCCGGGCTCGCACCTGACCCGGCTCATACTAACGCGTCTCTTCTGGCCTGGCAGCGCCCGAGTGTCGGAGCCGTGGTAACTAGTTCAGTGAGCGCAGCGCCGAAGATGAAGATGGTCTCGCGATCGAGCCTCAACGCGCACTCACTGCTACTCCTTCGAGCCCCCTTCTGCAGATTCGCAATCGTTACGCGCCCGCCGCGCCCAATGCTTGTGCTGTTCGCCCATCGAGCGTCGCGGGTTCTGGGTGATACGCGTGCCCTGGGAGGGTCTCCAGCCGCGGACTTGTCGGGGCGCTGACGGGCTCTCCCGATCGCGGAGGGGGAAGAGAGGCGAGGGAACACGCGCTGGCAGGCTACTCCACGAAGTTGTTCTCCACATGTTGAACTCCCCTCTGTTTCCAGATGCTACCAGTGCTGTTGCAGCCATTGGCCTCTGATGGCTAGCTGGTTAGCGCATGCAGATATATGCTTCTCTCTCTCTCTCTCTCTCTTTCTCTCCCCCTCTCTCTATATGTATATATATATATATATGATTTCTCTCTCTCTCTCTCTCTCTCTCTTAAAAAAGCCTTGGGCATGTTCATGCATCAATGGTGCTTGCCAATGTCACCAGCGGAAATTTCTTCTCTGGCCCCCCCTTTCGGGGCCCCTTCGGGCCCTCGGTGCCCGGGGCCCGCGGGGCCTGATGAGGGCGAACTGGGAGACCGCGCTGCGCGGCGCCGGCTGGCGGACGCGCGCCGCTCATCGGGACCTCGTCGCGGTTTTGGCCCTGCAATTGCAGCTCCGCTGCGCGCGCCAGCTCTGTTGTCGGGCCCGCGCCTCGCCCAGGCCCGCCCGCCCCCCCCCCCTTCGCCGCGCGCTGCAAGGCGCGGGCAATGGCGCGCTTGAGATCCAGCGGGGAGTAATCGTCCAGCTTCTCCATCGTCTCTTCGCCCGCGTTGCCCCTGGTTATCGTCGGCTGCGGCGCTGGGCGGATGGCGCAGATGACCCTGCCTGCGCCCGCTCCGTCGCCCGTCTGTCCCTTCGGCTTGTCGGCTGCGCGTGCCTTGTGCGTGGGAACTCCCTTGGTCGCGAAGTTCTGACCCCTGTCTTTTCATCGCGGGGCTCCACCACCTCTCGCGTACATGCCCCAGTCCAGGCCCCACTCCAGCGCACCATCGTTGGTCATCTTCTGCCTGGCATGCTCGGCGGGCGCTGTGACCTGCGCGACGCGCGCGCGCGCGAAGAGGCGACCTTTTTGCCCGCTCCCCGCACGTGCGCGCCGTTGTCCTTGCCAGCCGAACTGCGCGCTTGAACGGTACCTCTGCGACTTGAATGGACCCAAACACGCGGCTCGCTACCGTGACTCGGATGTCGGGCGAGTTCGCAAGACTCAGCCTCTGGGGGCTGCCGTGGGTGGCGGCGAAGTCTGTTGTGTCTTGGCCTCGTCGGAGTCCTCCTCGTCGATTGTTCGGCGGCTGCCATCCTCCCGAGCTGGGCCCCCCAGCCCTGGCACCTCCTCCTTTCGCGCCGATGATTCCCAGGAGGGCTCTCTTGCGGTCTCCCCCCTCTGCCAGCAATTGCCGCCGCTCTCCCCAGCTCGGTGCGGGCAGCTGCGGCAGGGACACCCCCTCGACTCTAAATCTGGGCCAGGCCCCACGCGGCGGCTCCG